CAACTCCCAGAATTCCCCAGCCAGCATGGCTAGCTGGGGAATTCTGGGAGTTGAAGTCCACCTGCTTTAAGTTGCCAAGGTTGAGAAACGCTGGGTTAGTGTTCTTAGCTCAACCAAAAACGTTTGCAGAGAGAAGGCAGGAAAGGTTTTGGCAGCTCGGACGTATCTAAGAACGCGCAGAGTTCCCTGAAAGTAAGAGGCGATCCGACGCAATGCTGCGAACGAGGAACGTGGAGATCAGGTTTAAATGCAAGGGACCCATTTCAAACCACGTCACTCCTCTGGCGGAAGGCAGGGACGCTCAGCCAGAATTCCCCGGCGAGAGGCAGAGTCGGGGACGACAGCTCCCATCAGCCCTGGCCGACCCCACCTAGAGGCAGGGAAGATGGGAGGGGCGGTTCAACATCCCCGCCAGGATGTTTTAATAAGGGGAAGGGGCCAGAAAGGTCAATGGGCTTTGGCAATTGTTGAGCCAAATCCAATGGCGCGGGGTGGGGGTGGAAGGCTTGGTCCCTCTACCCAAAATGAAAAAGTAATAAAAACAGCTCGCTCCGGAGAAGTAAAACTCTAAAACTGGGCAGCTCATTGCAAGAACACAGTGACTTTCTCCCCCCCCGAAAAAAAAGGCACTTGGATCTCATAGTGAATCAGCACAGGGACCCCCAAGGCTGCCAATGGCCAACTCGAGGGAGGGTCTGGCCGGCCCGCTCTTCTGGCCCCCATGCTTGGCAGCAAGCACAGGAGCACCGTACCCAGATGACTGGTCCCCTCGGATGCCCACCCACCCCCACCCCAAAAAGGACGCAAAGGCAGAGCGGGGAATCTCAAGGGGAGGCCGTCTGAGAAAAGCGAGTAGCCGCTTTCCCAAAGTGCCCGCGATCGGATCAAGGCAGCGAGTGAGAAAGGCAGGGATGAAAAATGCAGAGGAGAACCGGCGAAGGAACACGGCGAATGGGCGAGTCGAAAAGGCACGCGGGAGTCTCCGAGGTGGCCGGCCGGGACGTTGCCTCGGTCATGCTGAGAAACATCACGTGTGAATTGCTCGAGGCTGAGGGAGGTGGTTTCCTGCACATGGCTCACACAGAGAAGGTCCTCGCTCAGTAGAAGAGGGAGCATTCCTTCGAGCTTGCAGATAACTTGGACACCGAGCTGCAACCATCGGCATTCAAGCAGGAACCTGGCAGATGACCATCATCCCCAGCTGACGGGAGCTCAGTCCGCTCCAGTCAAGAACCCAGCCCCGATCTCCCAGGAATGGCACAGCGGGATGTGCCCTGAAGGACTCCAAGCCGCAACGCCAGAGACGTCAGCAGCACACAAGGGTCTCTGCTGCCCGGGAACAGTCCAGGTTGGCGGCTGATGGCGACTACTGCGAAAGGGTGGGGTCCAGCAGCTTCAAGACGCCCCCGACCAGATGCAAGCTGCCTGTCACCAGGACTTGGATGGCCGCCGCTTCCTTGAGCAGAACGGCCCCGCTGCTGGCCGCCGGGTGCGGGTGGAGCCCCCGGGGCAGCAGCGTTGGCAAGTGGGGGTCCCTGCCCTGCGTGATCCACTGCAAGGCCTGCGAGATGCAAGGGAAAACCAGGGAGTTGGAATTGAGCGGACGAGTCGAGGGGGCAGCGAAGAGCGGGGGTCCGTGAAGGGGGGGCTGCTTCAGCCAGCCCCCCACCTCCGGCAAGACAGGGAACCAAGGGTCCTGCGCCAGCTTGGCTTCCATCAGGCGGTTCCAGTGACTCTGGTTCTGCAGGCAGCGCGTCAAGACGTTCTCCAAGGTGACGTTGAAGTTCTGCTGATCTGCACCAGCAAAGATGTGCAAAAAAAGAAAGGCGAGGGGAGACGTCAGAACACGCCCCTTCCCTCGTCGCCAAGCCCCTGACCTGGAGTCTGCAGGCCGGACTACAAATGGCCATCACTCTGCTGGAGCATGATGGGCTTTAGAGAGTCTCTGCAGAGGAGACAAGGCTGAGAAGGACACTTGGTGCATTAGGGCCCACTGGAGAAGTTCACTCCATCAATCCACCGTCTAAGCCACAAATAGACCCAACTATGGTTCACGTTACCCAAGCTCAACGCAGAGCAACTGAAGGCCAACCCCTGTCTGATTTCGGGTTTGTGTGAATGCAGGGCTGTGTCTGAAATTTAAGTCCGGAGGGGAGGAGACAAATTAAAATCCTCCCACGAGGGCCTTTGTATTTTGCCAATGATATCGGCAGGGCTGCTGACCCAACACCCCTCAGCACCGACCTGCGTTGCCCACTGTCGACACCTCCGTGAGGTTGGGGCAGAACACGGCGTAATCGAAGTGGCAGGGCTGGAAACGAGAACAGCAAAGAGGAACCGGGGTTAGCCACTCTCGTCCCATGTGGTGGTCTCTTCTTAAGCCCACCCAGTTTTTAAACTGCTCCAGAGAGATCCCCCCCGTCAGATGAAACCAGGAGGGGCCTGAAGCTGTGAAATAGGAAAACGCTCACCAGCAAAAGTTTCAGCAAAGCAGCCGTATCTCGGTCCCCCGTCACGTTGAACAGCAACACTCGGACTTCAGAGCCACTATAAATGCGGGGAAAGAAACGGTCCTTTTTTCAGACCCTCCCTGCATTCATTCCCCCCTCTTTCTCTCCCCCTCCCCAACAATAAAGAGAGGGATTCAGACCACGGAAAATTACAGCAGCACAGAAGCGCAACTGTTCCGGATCCCAACAGGTCATTTTGCAAGGACATCTCCATTCCTGGGGGTCTTCTGCTCGCTCTCCCCCTTAAACGAGGTTCAGGACAGAGGTTTTTCACGCACACACGCACACACCCAGCCCAGCTTACTCTGTAGGTTTTTCTTCGTTCAGGGCCGCCTGGCGAAACCAGCGGACGCAGGCCTGTATGCTGCTGGTGGTGTGGGCCCCGTCGATGTACCATGTCACCGGACCGTGATGCAATACCTGGTTACGTCCGAGCCACACGGCCTCTTGCAGGCCTGGGAAGCAGAGCAAAACTCAGCTGCACGGCTGACCGTTGTGAATTCTGCAGCTGGCCCTTCCTGATTAGGAACCAAGTTTCTAGCCCTCACGTTCAGCAGAAAATCAGACAGATACAGGGCCAGAATCTGGGAAAAGCTCAGAAGCGGGCTTGAAAAAGAAACCAACAGATACAGCAACAGCAGGCAATATTAAAGGCTGCAAGTCTTTGGTGTCGGTTGGTCCTTTGACACACACTCGCCTCCTGCAAAGCCGTGTGCGGTTAGCCATGATTGAGGCTCCATGTCACCCTAAGCCATGAATGGTGGTCCGCAAGTGTAGGTGGCTGGCTTCACACAACCCTTTAAGCCCGCCCAAACACTTGAAAACACAGCTTAGAGAATGCGAGGACCCAGCCCAAATCTAACCTTGATTAAGTCACAAGGAGCTAAACATTTTGAGGCTTTTGCTCTCAGCAAAATCGCCAACAGGCTGGGATCCTGACGGTTCGCATCCCCTTAAAAGGCTAAATTGCTGTTTGGGTTGTAGATTTGTAAAGCACAAAAGCATTGCACAAACCAGACCTGCTGGAGGTTACTCAAGAAGCCACGATTACACAAACCAGGGCCTTCAGCCCTGCCCATAAGCTGAAAGAAAATATGAATGGAACCCACCAGGGGGGATTTTCATTCCAAGAATCCTTTTTCTTTTCTTTTCTTTTCTTTTGTATCTATCTATCTATCTATCTATCTATCTATCTATCTATCTATCATCTATCATCTATCATGAGGCTTCTTTTAAAGTACATAATATTTAGACAGCGATTCCGCTTCTATATACTATTACAAGCTAACAGCAAATGCTTTTAAAATAATGTTAACTGCAATGTTTCTCCAGATTCCTAAAACACTATTCAAAACCTCTTTATTAAAGTTTTGGAGAGGCCAAGCTGTCGCCTCCTTCTGTAATTGCAAGCTGCACAACTGACCCTTTCACGCCTGTTCCTTCTCCACGCCACCCTGCGACCCGCCGTGGCTGTCCTTGGTGGGACTGAGCTCAGAGGAGGCTCAACGCCGCGGCTCTGTTTCATCAGGAAACGGTCGTTCTGCCTGGGCTGAACTGCCGTCTGCTGAAAGTCAAGGATGGGGCGTGTGTGTGTGTGTGTGTGTGAGGAAACACGTCTGGAGGCAGTATGGGGATGGATGGATGGATGGATGGGGAGAGATATGGGGAAGGGGAAGAGGAAGGGGAGAAGAAGAAGGAGAAGAGATATGGGGAAGGGGAAGGGGAAGGGGAGGAGGAGGAGGAGGAGGAGGAGGAGGAGG